GAGTAAAAGGGTATACTAGATTCGTCGGAAAGTATGTAACAGGCAGAAGGAAGCGTTTCCGACCCCATAAAGTATATATATTCTTGATCAGGATCACTAGGCGAGTCGATCTAGCCATGTCCGTATGTCCGTCTGTCCGTCTGTCCATATGAACGCTGAGATCTCGGAAACTATGAGAGTTACAATACTGGGATTAGGCACGCAGATTCCTAAGATTCCTGCGTAGCGCAAGTTTGTTTCAGTAGAGTGCCACGCCCACTCTAACGCCCACAAACCGCCCAAAACTGTGGCTCCTACAGTTTTGATGCGAGATGAAAAATTTTAACTGAAATGTATTGTTCTCATCAATACCTATCGATTGGTCCAAAAAAAAGTTGCCACGCCCACTTTACCGCCCACAAAACGCGAAAACCTGTGACGCCACAATCATGCTAGAAAACAAAAACTGAAATGTATGTCTTCAATACTATCGATTGTCTAAAAAAAAGTTGCCACGCCCACTTTACCGCCCACAAACCGCGAAAATCTGTGACGCCCACAATTTTCATGCTAGATAAACAAATTTACTGAATTTGGTTTGTAATACCTATCGATGTCAATAAATAAATAATTCAGCCACTTAAGCCATAACCTTAATTGTTACCGGTAGTGCGCATTTTATCTGCTTTGCTATTGTATTTATTTGCTGTACGGTATCTGATAGTCGAGTACTCGACTATAGGTTCTTCTGTTGTTTGTCTTTTGAGGATTCTAGGTCTGAGGAACGCCGCTGTTACCAGGACGTGGGTTGGGTAAGGGTGGAGTTTTGGGGTATGGATAGGTGAGCGCTACGAATAGGAATTTTCTTGATAATAGCGGCTTCTTGGTTGACATTTTGACTATGGAAGCTTTCCGAGCTAAAACTTGTGATTTTTTCCATGAATAGGTTCCAATCTGCATCTTTTAGTTTAAATGAGGGTTTTGCGGTAAAGGTTGGGACAGTTTGGTTGCGGAATATTGAAATTAATATAGGAAAGTGGTCGCTGCCATGAAGGTCGTCTAACACTTCCCAGGAGATTTCTGGAGCTATACTGGCGGAGGCGAAGGATAGATCAATGTGTGTGTGTGTGTTGTGCGTTGAGAAGTGAGTTGAAGATTTGTCGTTTAGTAATATGTAATTAGAACGGTCTGACCGCGTCAAAGTCTGAGCTTACGGAGATTTCGTTCTGGGGTATGAAATTGTGAATAAGAAGGGCGGTGCCTCCAAAACTATTATGGTTATTTTTGCTGGTGTAGAGGGAGTAGTTTATAGGGGTAGGAAGGGAGCAAAGGTTTGTAGTGTGTGTTTCTTGGAGGGCAATAGTTTGTGGGTTATAGGATTTAGCAAGTACTTGTAGATCTATACAATTGTTTCTGTAACCGTGTATATTCCATTGTATAATTTTAAGCATGGGCTATAAGTTTTAAAGTTAAAATAAGTTCTAAAGTTAGGTTAGTGTTTTTCTAACTAATTAACTAATTGGTTTTAATTTGATTATTTAGGTAGTTTGCTTATGAGGTTGGTGTTGGAGATACATGTTTTTCAGCTTTTTGTTTAGCTTTAAGTGGTTTAGTGAGGAGGTTGGACTTGTCTTTTGTTTGGGATCTGAGCTTACGGTCTGTTTCAGGGATGAGTCTTCTATTTTGGTTGCGATTAGTGGAGTCAGTTGTGTCCATGTCTTCTTCCGAACAATCGGCCGTGTTGTGGGTTTTCTTGTTTATTTGAGTGTGCGCGGAGGATTTTGGATTGGTACAATTTTCGTCGTCCGGGGTGTGGGGTTCAGAGCAATTGTTGCATACTTTTGGGCTTTTGCAGAATTTGAGTGGGTGTCCAAATCTTTGGCAGTTTCGGCATTTGAGAGGTCTAGGTATATGAGGACGTACGTTGACACGTTCATATCCTATCATTATTGTTGATGGTAATGTTGTTGTTGCAAATGTTAAAATTGTCAGACCAGATTCCTGTAGGAGTTGTTCTTGAATTGAAAGATCTTTTCGACTTCAATTACTTTTTGCGAGCTTAGTTCTTTTAGTATGTCTTCTTTTTCTATGTTACGTAGATCGTTAGAGTGTTTTGTGTTCGGATGAGCTGACTAGGAAGTTGTGGAATTGGGTAAGCCTAAGCAGTCTTTGTGCTTGGATTACGCCTTTGGTTTTAACTAATAGCTTTCCGTCTCTGGTTTTTTTGACCGATTCAACTTCACCACCGCAATGGAAATCAATTACTTCCTTGATAATGAAGGGAGACACATTTTCAAAAGATTGGTTATCTTGGCGAGAAAATATGATATATTTATGTTCCATTAATGCTTTTTTATCCCGTAGTACTGGTTCTGTAAGGGTTTTTTGTATTTGGGTTTTTTGTGAAGTATGCTTTGTGCTTTTATTTGTTTTTTGAAAATTTGGATTGATTTGTTACTGTTATCTATTGGTTTTGGCGAGGTGATCTCTGCAGCACGTCTGTCTTCTATGAAGTTTGGATTGGTACTGTAATATGCCTTTACTTTTAATTAATATATACGATTTTAAAAAAAAAAAGTAATTCTTATATTTGGTTTCTGTTTTGTTAATTTACTTTATTTATAATTTGATAAGTTGTGTAGTTTGCCTGAGATCAGCATGTTGATCATGTCGGGACGGGTAATTTTGTGCTCCTGTCGGTACTTCATTGCATCGAGCATCAGACGGACGAAATACTGAGTACTCTTCTTATCCACTTTCAGGATCTACAAAATGAATAAAAATGTTACTCAGGGTAATAAATTTTTTGTATTTGACCTACCTTGTTGAGACTCTTCAGTGCAAGGAACAACATAAACTTAATGTTTTGCAGGAAGGAAGAATTTGTCAACTTCTTGCCCATCTGATAGAAGGTGTTCTCTCGATCCTTGAACGAATTCACCTGCAGCCCAAAGGCTGTCGAGGCGATTACATCATTGGTGAATCGTGTGCAGTAGTCCTTCATGTCCAGTTCCGTTTCCTGGACAGATGACTCATCCTGCTTTAAGCAGGACACGGCCTCCTTGGCCACCTGGTTTATCAACTGGAACATCTGACGCATTTTGCTGCCTGTAAAGACTGGACTCAGAGTGCTCCGCATGTCCTTCCACCGGGCATCCCGGTTATGGTTACTGTTATCTCTGTTTGTATTTGACTGGGAAAGTAAATTAAAACAATTAAACGCTATAGTCGAGTCCTTCGCCTATAAGATAACCGTTCCTTTCAATTAACGCCGCATGCACCACACATGCCAGCGCAACGGCACCTATCGGACGGTAGCGATACTACTGACCATGTCAAAGCCTGTTGAACTTAGTTGAACAAACCTTTTAAAATAATTCGAATTCTCGGCATATAGATGGGTATTGATCAATAAAATCAATTTTTAAATAATTAAGCTTTTACAAAATGTGGGCTCTAGTCAAGTTTTAGCGAAATGGGCGTTTTTGGGCGCTACCCTGCTGAAATAAACTTGCGCTGCGCAAGAAGCTCTTGAATCCACATGCTTAACTTTACAGCTATCTTAGATTCACGACTGATGCTTAAATGAGAGGTCCTTAGCGCTTTTCTCCGGTATTTATACCGGAACGCAAAAACCATTTGTCTCACCTAGGCAGACGGGGTCGTAAATATCGCGTCGTAAACTTTGTCTTACCCGCCAAAGCTGGAGAAGATCCCCCGTCCAATTGAACATGGCCCATTAAAGTATGATAAAGTATGATCCAGCTGACCTGCGGAGTAAAAAACAAGGAAGAACGCTATAGTCGAGTACCTAGACTATCAGATACCCGTTACTCAGCTAAGGGGACCAAAGGGAAATGGAGATATGCAAGCAGCAAATCGAGATTTAAATACGCCACCTACCGGCGGTAGACAGATTTAAGCGTTACGGGAGTTAGAGTGGGCGGGGCTACATTTTTTTTGGATCAATCGATAGGTATTGACGAGATTAATACATTTCAGTTAAAATTTTTTGTCTAGCATGAAAACTGTGGCCGTCACAGGCTTGGGCGGTTTGTGGGCGTTAGAGTGGGCGTGGCAATTTTTTTTTCGGGTCACTCGATAGGTATTGATGAGAAGAATACACTTATGTTAAAATTTATATTCTAGCATCAAAACTGTAAAAGCCACAGTTTTGGGCGGTTTGTGGGCGTAAGAGTGGGCGTGGCACATTGCTGAAACAAACTTGCGCTGCGTAAGAAGCTCAGGAATCTGCACGCCAAATCTCAATGGCCTAGCTCCCATAGTTTCCGAGATCTCAGCGTTCATCCGGACGGACAGACAGACGGACAGACGGACATGGCTAGATCGACTCGGCTAGTGATCCTGATCAAGAATATATATACTTTATGGGGTCGGAAACGCTTCCTTCTGCCTGTTACATACTTTCCGACGAATCTAGTATACCCTTTTACTCTACGAGTAACGGGTATAATTAGGCTTGCCCATCCTAGAATGAAATTAGAACCCGAGTTCTGTCACTTTTTGTGGACCAGAGGATCGGATCCGCACATGTGTCAAGTGGCGTGGCGCCCTGTGATCCCTCCATTTGGCTAATTGGAAAACGCTGTCGCGTTGGCCCCTTCGCCTTCGCCTTGAAGTCGGAGGTAAAGTGCACCTAAGCTGAAGAGAGTGAAACCCGGTAGTTGGTAGTTCAGTTGGGTAGACGGAATGGAATATATACCTATGGGTAATTAAAGTCGAGGGTGCGCACCCATGTGGTGAGTGTTTAAACAGTGAGTGCCCAGATAATGAGTGGCTTGTGACTGCCTAATTTATATGGAAAATCAAAATGCAGACGCGTTTGTATTGTAGTTGCTTTTTCCTAATTATATAGTTGATATACGCCCCGATTACAGTGACGCATTTAAATACCTTATATATCTCGTAAACTTTAAACAGCAAACTTTGTACATTTTTTCGAAACACGTTTGTATATTTATGAACCTTATCATTACATCGGCGAACAATAACAAAAATTGTCCGATTTTGATACAGATCCCCTGTTACATAAAAATATATTTTTATTTGTACACGAAATATATTTACATATATATATTTATATATCAAGAAGAAACTTATTTCTAATAGTGGAAAAAAATCACTTTTGCCTCGTAGTTTAAGGAAGTAGGGGCCCTAATTGAATGCTAGGTTAAATACAAACCAAGCAAATGCACCGGCTACAAGAATTATAACACATTTAAGAATTGTATCCAATACGTAAAACCTGTGAAAATAAAATTAGACCATAAAAATCTATCTAAACATCATTAGCCTTTACTTACCTAGATAAAATTCTCTTGCCCTTAGCAAAAGATTCTGGTGTCGGGAGATCCTTAAACAAGAACAGCCTGATCCCGAGCATGACGCTCGTAGTATATTCGTTCCAGTCTAGTGTCGACATATCAAAATGAAACATTTTCTTATCCTCCGGCGACATTGACTGCCACAGCTGGTCGGTATTATTTGTTTCCATGAGAAAGTTCCTCCTTGTAAAGGGAAACAAGCTTTTCATTCCTTCGTCGATCTTTCTATACCTCTTTACCATCATCGGCTTTTGACCTTTCAGTCGCAACGCGATGTCCATCAGAAATCCGGGCAGAAAGTGATAGAAGTAGGTGCCGATGTCATAAATATACGGACAAGCGATGTTATGGTTAAATGGGTACCAAATCATCTTTTCAGTCGGCTTGGTCAGCCCAGTTTGGTAACATTTTTCCGATAGGTCTCCAAAGGTCACTGTATTCGATTGGCAGCTTGAAAAGGCGTATATAGGAATTGCACTCTTTTTGTCTTGCTGGGAGATCTTGGCTATCTGTACAGCTGTGGCGATGGCCACGTTGACACAATAGTCAGCAGGAACTAAGGGAACATTAACTTTAAGATTAACAAGTGCTATGTGGATGACCCCGTAATTAATGCCAAACATCATCGCAATCAGTCCTTGTAAGCCATCAATCCAACCACGAACAGGCTCTTTAAAAGTGGATGTAACTGAAAGCCCAGAAGGGAATATAAAAGAGAATTGGGTCAAAAGCCATTAAATATGAAGTACATGAATCTCAATTTGTAACGGGCTATACTTTTTCACTAAACTGAAAGTCTTATCTGGGAAATAACAAGAAAACATGGATGTAAATTTCTTATAAACACGATGCATGCGAATGTCGTACAATACAACAAACTAAACTGGTAAAAGTTTATATTTTTTGGGAGTAGGCGGGAAGTATTTACTTACTAATGGCTGGTCGGAAAATGCCGACTGGCAGATCCTTGGCCTCCTCCTGAATCACCTGTTCCCCCAGGGCCTTAGTGTAGGTGTATGTGTTTGGGTATTTTCCGAGTAAGGCCGGTGCAATCTTCTCTACCATCTCCCCACCGAGGGACTCACTCAGGTCGAGGACCTTATCAACGGGGCAGGTGAGGTTCTCCGGGTAGAAACGCTCTTGGATTTGGTACACCACACAGTTGGAGAATGCCGTCGAGACGTGGACGAAGGCCTCGAGGCGCCGCATTTCCTTGGCCAGCTGAACCATAAGGCGCACCGCCCTCGTGTTGATGTTCAACGCCTGCTGCAGTGGTTCTATGAATCTAACTGAAGCGGCTCCATGCATAACCACCTGCACTTCCGTTATCAATATCCTTCGATCCGCCTCGCTGATGGCCATGTCCGGCGCACAGCAGTCCCCAGAAATTGGAGTCACATGCTCCAGGGCGTGCGGCTTGTTCTTGAGGAGAACTTCAAAAACCTGCAGAGAGGAGATTTGACCAGGAACAGCCATCACACATAACTACGTGCTGCCTTCACTTGCACCCACCTGGTCTTGCTTCCATGTCTCAAAACGTCCTTTCACGTTTTCACCCCGCTTGGGTCTCAACAGGATATATATACGTTTCACATCTGTCGACCGCAACAGTTTTTCTATAATCACTGAAATTTTACCGGCCAGAACCGTTGTTAGTAGAGTAAAAGGGTATACTAGACTCGTCGGAAAGTATGTAACAGGTAGATGGAAGCGTTTCCGACCCCATAAAGTATATATATTCTTGATCAGGATCACTAGTCGAGTCGATCTAGCCATGTCCGTACGTCCGTCTGTCTGTCCGTCCAGATGAACGCTGGGATCTCGGAAACTACAAAAGCTAGTTGGGATGTATTAGACTCGTCAATACCTATCGATTGATCCAAAAAAAGTTTGCCACGGCCACTTTAACGCCCACAAACCGACTAAGCCTGTGCCGCCTTATTTTCATGTTTGAAAAAATTTTAACTGAAATGTATTGGTGTCGTCAATACCTATTGAATAACCCAAAAAAAAGTTTGCCACGCCCACTCTAAAGCCCATAACGCTTAAATCTGTATACCGCACACATAACAATATATTGAGATCGCGGGTAGGTGGCGTATTTAAATCTCGATTTGCTGCTTGCATATCTCAATTTCCCTTTGGTCCCTTTAGCTGAGTAACGGGTACCTGATAGTCGAGGTACTCGACTATAGCGTTCTTCCTCGTTTTTCTTAGTTTGTTTTTAGTTTAATGCGCACCTTTTCCCAGAAATCCTGTGCCTCCGGTTAAAAAAACCGTCTTGTCCTTATAAAAACTTAAAATTTCACTGGACATTTTGTGCTGCGAAAACTATATTCACTCCGTGGAATCTCTCAATCCAATGCCAAGTTCTTTTTTATTTACATTTATTTATACTATTTTCCTAACCTACACATTAAGCAAATTTGCTACGAGAAGCAACGCAACAAGAATGTATGAATTTTTCATTAAGTTTGCGAATAAATTTGAAATAGTAATTACAAAGAACCTTTAAAACTCAAATAAACCGATATGGGCCGGTCTTTTACAAACCTAATGGATTTAACAAATAAAAAAATTTTGTATTTTGGATTTGCCTGAAACTTTTATTACGTATACTTTTCGAAAAAATAAGTAAACACGTGTATCAGGACTAGGCCGAAAAAAAAATATTTTTTAGTTAGAATTTTTTAAAGTATGTAAAAAAAAGCTTGTTTTTAAAAAGTACCCTCTGTTTGCAAGTCTATATCTCCATCTGTAATTATCTAATTGATTTCATGTCCTATGCATAAAATCCTCTAAAACCTCTACTTTTTAAATACATTTTTTTTAAACACACAAATTATTTAATTTATTAAAAATAAAAACCAATTTTAATTTAAGAAATTTTTTTAACCATTGCCCCAACAAAAAAAATTTTTTTTTTTATTTTAAAATATGTCTCCATTTGTCACCTTCAATCGGTTTTTTTTAAAGGTTGGAGTCATTTTTTGTTTTCAAGATATCGAATTTAATGTTATAAACCCTCTCATATTTTCAGCAGCCATCTCGCTCGTTCTCATAATTGTTTTATTGTTTTTATAGGTTTTTTCTTAATATATTTACTACATTTATTATGTAAATATTTTAACACAAGTCGATTTTTCTTGTAATGAATAGTGCTTAGCTATCGCTAATTTTTGGTGGTATTAAGCAGTGACAGTCATCGTTTTTTGGAATCTTTTTTCCAACTTTTTCTCTTTAACAGCATATTTCCAATACAAACGCCCTGGGAGTTATTCGAATGGGCATCCAAGTCTCTACCAAATATCAAACAAAAACACCTCTTAACGAGATAAAAAGTAGTGGCGAACGCGCCTTTAACAAAAATTTCTGATATCAACAATTGTAACGAAAATTGATTTTACATTTAATAAAATAAACAAACTATATTAAATTTGTGATTTCGGCCCGCAACAGTAAATATTTATTTACCTACACATAAATTTTCTGTTATAGCGTGCCGAATACATAGATGTAATATAGTTTATTTATTGTTGATATCAGAAATTTTTGTTAAAGGCGCGTTCGCCACTACTTTTTACCTCGTTAAGAGGCGTTTTTGTTTGATATCAGAAGTTTTTTTTTGCACATGAGTTTAAGTACCCCAATACCATGACTAGGAGTCGTCCCCATATAGCTTGGCTATTGAAAAACCAAACACACACTTTCATGTTCCACTTCGGCTTAACTTTATTCTTATAAGGTTTGGGTTGTTTACATTAACATTCTAATAAGAATGAAACATATAATATGAATATTAAACTTTTTAATAACAAGTTTTATCGCTTCAATTACCTATTTTAATAGCTCAAGTTTGGAATCTCAAGGGCTGTATAGTTTCAGATTCTAAGAGAAATCTATCGTTTCTTACATTTCCCGCGGAACTAGCGGGTTTTTCCAAAGTGGTAGAACAAATAGATCAAGTTTCCTATTTCGACTAGCTTCTTGCAAGTAAATAACCCTAAAGCCATAACAGATTTCCGTTTAAAAAAATCGAATAGGAATATTTTTCATCAAATTGGTTTTTTGCTTGTTTATTCCAATAAGTATGAAATATTACGTATGCGGAGCTGAAACGAGTTGCACTTTTTATCGCTTAACATCTTCCAAACGGTAATTTTTAGGGCAAAAAGTGTTGTATATAAAAAGTTGAGGAATTTCAAGGGCTGTATGATATACAATTTAAAAAGAAATCGTTCGACTCAATTTTGAGAAAATCGTCAAAAAGTGGTTTTAAAAAATAACTTTTTATCATAACTCTAAATCTATTATATTCAGACAATTTTACTAGATGAAGAGAATTTAGCAAATTATATTATCTTTTCAGAGATATATAGCACGTTTCTGTAGCATTAGTTGTTTAGCTACTATAAGCAAATCTTTCTTTTTTTTGATTTTATACACACTACTACTTCATACACCCATAGGGTTTCCAAACCCTAAAACTAAGATGGGATGCATACAAACCCACAAACAAAGGGACAAACATTTTCATTTTGGGAAGAAAAAGAAAATCTTGTTGTTTTTTGAATTACTTTTGAACGGGACATCGGATTTCAACAAATGAGATGTCATTCGACGCGTATTCTCAGTAAGAATAAAACAGACGGGGGCTTTTATCCCCACCGTGTCCAGCAGCTCCAATTTTCTAAATTTTTACTTTTACACTTTCACCGCCTTTTCTCCCAAACAAATTTATTTTTCGAAAGTCAACAGTTGTGACGAAAAATGATATTACATTCGATAAAATAAGTAAACTATATTAAATTTATGATTTCGGCCCGCAACAGTAATATATTTATGTTATAGCGTGCCGAATACATAAATTTAATATAGTTTATTTATTTTATCGAATGTAATATCATTTTTCGTCACAATTGTTGATATCAGAAATTTTTGTTAAAGGCGCGTTCGCCACTACTTTTTACCTCGTTAAGAGGTGTTTTTGTTTGATATCAGAAGTTTTTTTTGCACAAGAGTTTAAGTACCCCAATTGCATGACTAGGAGTTGTCCCCATGAATATTAAACTTTTTTATAACAAGTTTTATCGCTTCAGTTACCTTTTTTAATAGCACAAGTTTGGAATCTCAAGTGCTGTATAGTTTCAGATTCCAAGAGAAACCTGTCGTTTCTTATATTTCCCGCCGAACTAGCGGGTTATTCCAAAGTGGTAGAACAAAAAGATCAAGTTTCCTATTTCAATTAGCTTCATGCAAGTAAAGGACCCTAAAACCATAACGGATTTTCCGTTTGAAAAAATCGAATAAGAATATTTTTCATCAAATTTGTTTTTTTCTTGTTTATTCCAATAAGTATGAAATATTTCGTATACTGAGCTGAAACGAGTTGCACTTTTTATCGCTTAATATCTTCCAAACGGTAATTTTTAGGGCAAAAAGTGTTATATATCAATAGTTGAGGAATCTTATGGGCTATATGATTTGAAATTTAAAAAGAAATAGTTCGACTCAATTTTGAGAAAATAGTCAAAAAATGGTTTTAGAAAATAACTTTTTGTCATAACTCGAAATCTATTATATTCAGAAAACTTTACTATATGGAGGGTATTTAGCAAATGAAATTATTTTTTCAGAGATATATAGCATGTTTCTGTAGCATTAGTTGTTTAGATACTATAAGCATTTTAAATCTGGCTTTTTTTTTGGATTTTCCACTAATATAGCGGGTTTTTCCAAAAGTCGTAGAACAAACGTTTTCTAATTCAAGTAACTTTATACACCCATAGGGTTTCCAAAACCCTAAAACTAACATGGGATGCATACAAACCCACAAACAAAGGGACAAACATTTTCATTTTGGGAAGAAGAAGAAAATCTTGTTTTTGAATTACTTTCGAACGGGACATCGGCGGCTTTTATCCCCACCGTATCCAGCAGCTCCAATTCTTGAAATTTTTATTTTTACACTTTCACCGCTTTTTCTCCCAAACAAATATATATTTCGAAAGTCTTGTATCACTCGTTACGATTGGACCATAATGGCAGATTTTCAATTCTGCGGCTATATATTGTAGTTGTCTTCGCACGCTCTCTTGCGCGCTTCGCCACTACGTGAACTACCGTCCACAGTGATAAAAAATCGAAATGCAGACGCGTTTGTATTGTATTTGGTTTTTCCTAATTATATAGCAGTTATACGCCCCGATTATAGTGACGCATTTGAATACCTTCTATATCTCGTAAATTTTAGATAGCAAACTTTTTTACATTTTTTGAAACACGTTTGTATATTTTTAAGAACCCTACCATACATCGGCGAACAATAAAAAAAAGGTTCCATTTTTGATACAGAGGGGATCTGATACATACAAATATATTTTTATTTGTACACGAAATATATTTACAACTTCGAGATCTATCAAGAAGTAACTTATTTCTTATAGTGAAAAAAATCACATTTGCCTCGTACCATGTTTCGTATTAAACTTTGTTCTAGCGAAGTTTTGGGAAGTAGGGGCCCTAATTGAATGCTAGGCTAAATAAGAACCAAGCAAAGGCACCGGCTACAAGAATGATAAGAATTTTAAGAATTGTATCCAATACGTAAAACCTGTGAAAACCAAGAAGACCATACAAATCTATCTAAGCATCATTAGCATTCACTTACCTAGATAAAATTCTCTTGCCCTTGGCAAGGGATTCTGGTGTCGGGAGATCCTTAAACAAGAACAGCCTGATCCCGATCATGACGCTCGTGAAATAATTGTTCCAGTTTAGTGTCGACATATCAAAATGAAACATTTTCTTGTCATCCGGCGACATTGACTGCCACAGCTGGTCGGTATTATTTGTTTCTATGAGAAAGTTTCTGCTTGTAAAGGGAAACAAGCATTTCATTCCTTCGTCGATCTTTCTATATCTCTTTACCATCATCGGCTTTTGACCTTTCAGTCGCAACGCGATGTCCATCAGAAATCCGGGCAGAAAGTGATAGAAGTAGGTGCCGATGTCATAAATATACGGACAAGCGATGTTATGGTTAAATGGGTACCAAATCATCTTTTCAGTCGGCTTGTCAGCCCAGTTTGGTAACATTTTTCCGAAAGGTCTCCAAAGGTCACTGTATTCGATTGGCAGCTTGAAAAGGCGTATATAGGAATTGCACTCTTTTTGTCTTGCTGGGAGATCTTGGCTATCTGTACAGCTGTGGCGATGGCCACGTTGACACAATAGTCAGCAGGAACTAAGGGAACATTAACTTTAAGATTAACAAGTGCTATGTGGATGACCCCGTAATTAATGCCAAACATCATCGCAATCAGTCCTTGTAAGCCATCAATCCAACCACGAACAGGCTCTTTAAAAGTGGATGTAACTGAAAGCCCAGAAGGGAATATAAAAGAGAATTGGGTCAAAAGCCATTAAATATGAAGTACATGAATCTCAATTTGTAACGGGCTATACTTTTTCACTAAACTGAAAGTCTTATCTGGGAAATAACTGAAAACATGGATGTAAATTTCTTATAAACACGATGCATGCGAATGTGGTACAATAAAACTAAACTGGTAAAAGTTTATATTTTTTGGGAGTAGGCGGGAAGTATTTACTTACTGATGGCTGGTCGGAAAATGCCGACTGGCAGATCCTTGGCCTCCTCCTGAATCACCTGTTCCCCCAGGGCCTTAGTGTAGGTGTATGTGTTTGGGTATTTTCCGAGTAAGGCCGGTGCAATCTTCTCTACCATCTCCCCACCGAGGGACTCACTCAGGTCGAGGACCTTATCAACGGGGCAGGTGAGGTTCTCCGGGTAGAAACGCTCTTGGATTTGGTACACCACACAGTTGGAGAATGCCGTCGAGACGTGGACGAAGGCCTCGAGGCGCCGCATTTCCTTGGCCAGCTGAACCATAAGGCGCACCGCCCTCGTTTGATGTTCAACGCCTGCTGCAGTGGTTCTATGAACTAACTGAAGCGGCTCCATGCATAACCACCTGCACTTCCGTTATCAATATCCTTCGATCCGCCTCGCTGATGGCCATGTCCGGGCACAGCAGTCCCCAGAAATTGGAGTCACATGCTCCAGGGCGTGCGGCTTGTTCTTGAGGAGAACTTCAAAAACCTGCAGAGAGGAGATTTGACCAGGAACAGCCATCACACATAACTACGTGCTGCCTTCACTTGCACCCACCTGGTCTTGCTTCCATGTCTCAAACGTCCTTTCACGTTTTCACCCCGCTTGGGTCTCAACAGGATATATATACGTTTCACATCTGTCGACCGCAACAGTTTTTCTATAATCACTGAAATTTTACCGGCCAGAACCGTTGTTAGTAGAGTAAAAGGGTATACTAGACTCGTCGGAAAGTATGTAACAGGTAGATGGAAGCGTTTCCGACCCCATAAAGTATATATATTCTTGATCAGGATCACTAGCCGAGTCGATCTAGCCATGTCCGTACGTCCGTCTGTCTGTCCGTCCAGATGAACGCTGGGATCTCGGAAACTACAAAAGCTAGTTGGGATGTATTAGACTCGTCAATACCTATCGATATCCAAAAAAAGTTTGCCACGCCCACTTTAACGCCCACAAACCGACTAAGCCTGTGCTGCCTTATTTTCATGTTGAAAAAATATAACTGAAATGTATTGGTCTCGTCAATACCTATTGAATGACCCAAAAAAAAGTTTGCCACGCCCACTCTAAAGCCCATAACGCTTAAATCTGTTACCGCCAACATAACCATATATTGAGATCGCGGGTAGGTGGCGCATTTCAATCTCACTTTGCTGCTTGCATATCTCAATTTCCCTTTGGTCCCTTTAGCTGAGTAACGGTACCTGATAGTCGAGGTACTCGACTATAGCGTTCTTCCTCGTTTTTCTTAGTTTGTTTTTAGTTTAATGCGCACCTTTTCCCAGCAATCCTGTGCCTCCGGTTAAAAAACCGTTTTGTCCTTATAGAAACTTAAAATTTCACTCGACATTTTGTGGTGCGAAAACTATATTCACTCGGTGGAATCTCTCAACCCAATGCCAAGTTTTTTTTTATTTACAATTATTTATACTATTTTTTTAACCTACAAATTAAGCAAATTTGCCACGAGAAGCAACGCGACAAGAATGTAGGAATTTTTCATTAAGTTTGCGAATAAATTTGAAATAGTAATTACAAAGAACCTTCAAAACTCAAATAAACCGAAATAGGTATAAAAGTTTTATAGCAATATCTACACTCAGAAAAAAAATCAAGTATTTCGTGCTTGAACCTAGTATTTTCGGTGTCAAAACTTCGCCAAGCATGGAAAATACAGAACGCGAGAACAAAATACTACTTTAGAGCACGAATTTTCAAGACCCAAAATACTAGATTCAGGAACCTTTCGGTCTTGAATCTAGTATGAACAATTCTCAAATCAAGTCATATTTGGTCTAAAAACAAGAACGATTTAATAATAAAGTAAAAAGTTGCAGGCATGATTTAAGGACGAATAATTCTTAAATCAGTATATAAATATTATGAAATTAAAATGAGTTTTTATTTTATGCTAGTAAGAGAAATAAGTATTGGAAACTGAAACGAAATAATCGAGATATGTATATATAAATAATATTAATATTTGCCGCTCACGGGCATTAAAACTGTCTAATTTATGCGCCTTATATACGAGTACTTTCAGAATAAACAGTTGGGAATTATTAGAGTTGGCCGACATTAAAAATCCAAAAAGTGCTCAACATCAGAGTTTTTGAGCACGAACGTTCTTAAATGTAAGCATGCAATTTTTCTTAAATCAAGGCTGTTTGTACTTGTTTTTAGCACGGTGTTTTTACCTGAGTGTACGATTCAAAAAAGTTTATTCTTATATTTTGTTAAATTATTTTATTTGTATATTGATAAATTATTATTGATAATTTTATCTACATTATATATGCTCTTAAAATGTTTATATGATAGATATGCCGTTATTTTTATTTAAATGTTAGAAAAAGAGAATAAAGTTACTATATTCTGTATAAAACTTAAAAGCTTCAAATTATTCAAAAATTAAATCAAGACAATTGTCAAATCTAACAATTATACTTGATACTTCGCTAAAGAGTTTTGTAGTGTATGGAAATGATAAATGTAATAAAAACTTAAATATTAATTACTATGTTTATGCTAAGGGTTTCATGATTTCTTGAAAGCGTGAAATAAAATTTGCTCCTGTTTATGCGACGCGGCCGAATTCATGCATTTTATAAATCTCAGCTGACAGAGATGCCGGACCGTTGGAAAAAGGAGTTGGCGATTATTAAACCGATAATATTTTTCGATTCGCATGAATGAATCTTGCTAGTATTAAAGATAAAGTGTGTGCAAGCCAGTATAACATTTTTTCTACCGCCAAATAAAAGATGAAAACTAGTTTTTATTGGCACTGAATGAAAAAACAATATGTTCAATGTAAGGTGTATATATATATTTACATCGATCTGGCAATTCCGATAATTGTATAGAGTTACCGGAGTTTAATTGAAAGCGTGAATTGGGCATCGCATAAGCACAGTAAATGTAATTTTCTTTAATACACAACAATTAACAAAATTGATTATTCAATTTGTAGATTAGTTTCTCTGAATCAGTTTGATCCAAAATCCATTTTTGGGTGACAACTGAAACCCTGAACTGGCCAGCACCATTGGAATGCAGGATTTCTTGGCTGGGGCAAAACGGAATTCCTTCAGAAGGTAATAGATGACGGCCTTTGCTTCAAGAAGAGCGAACCGGGAAGCTATAAGGAAAACATTTTAGTATCAACCAGGGCTAGAAGTCAGCCATCTTACCAATGCAGTTTCGTTGACCCAAACCGAAGGGAAAGTATGTGTTTGGTTCAATTGTATCCTTGTTTTCCTCGCTGAAACGTTCCGGATCAAATTTCATGGGGTTCTCAAAGTACTTAGGATCACGATGAAATCCACATGTGGGCAGCCAGAGGACATCCCCCTTCTTAATTTCTACTTTCTGGCCATCCACCTCGTAGGTGATATCCTTGTTGCACTCTCGGTCAACTGCAATCGCTGGCGGCCACTTTCGCAAGACCTCTGAAACGACCTGATCCAGATATTTCATGCCCATGATAGCCTCATAGTTTAGCTCCTTGCCATCCAGCTCTTTGTCAACTCGCTGCACCTCTTCGAACAGCTTCTGCTGCACATCCTCGTTCTCCATCAGCTCATGAGCGGTGAAGCACATTAGCACAGCTGAGGTCTCGAAGCCGGCAAAGAAAAAGACAAAACATTGGGCCACAATGTCACGATCGCTCCACTCGCGAACGGCAGTCGTCTTGGTCTTCTCCGACGGGATCAGACCTCGCGCCTCCATTAGCATGTTGATCATGTCGGGACGGGAAATATTGTGCTCCTGTCGGTACTTCATGGCATCGAGCACCAGACGGACGAAATACTGAGTACTCTTCTTATCGAAGAGCTCCACTTTAAGGATCTACAAAATGAATAAAAATGTGAATCTGGTTATACATTTGTTAGTTCTACCAACCTTGTTGAGACTCTTCAGTGCAAAGAACAACATAAACTTAATGTTTTGCAGGAAGGAAAAATTTGTCAACTTCTTGCCCATCTGATAAAAGGTGTTCTCTCGATCCTTGAACGAATTCACCTGCAGCCCAAAGGCTGTCGAGGCGATTACATCATTGGTGAATCGTGTGCAGTAGTCCTTCATGTCCAGTTCCGTTTCCTGGGCAGATGACTCATCCTGCTTTAAGCAGGACACGGCCTCCTTGGCCACCTGGTTCATCAGCTGGAACATCTGACGCATTTTGCTGCCTGTAAAAACTGGACTCAGAGTGCTCCGCATTTCCTTCCAACGGGCATCCCGCATTGAGAACAAGGAGCTACCAAAAAGATTGCTCATGTCATGCGGATCATCATCGCTGCTGGTGGCGAACACGTTGCGATGATTGATAAAGTGGTCAAAGTCCTTTATGGCTACCTGTTTTATAATATCTGGGTCGCGTACCATCAATAATGGTTGTCGCTGCTCAAAGATACCGAAAAACCTGAAATAAAAAATCAAGGTTAATGTCCGATAAGCTTTTTGTGATTCATTTTTTGATGGGTAAAAACGTATTATGCGTGCATTGAAAAGATTAAAGTACGATGAGACAATTTGGTGTTTTATTAATAGGTATAAATTGCTTATTACCTATTCATATAATTTAACATTTATAACCAATGTATGGTTATGGTTATCTCTGTTTGTATTTGACTAGGGAAGTAAATTAAATAAATTAAACGCTATAGTCGAGTAGTTCGACTATTAGATACCCATAACTCTGTTTCAAAGGCATTTCAATTAGAGCGGCATACACCATACATGACAGCGCCACGGCACCTATCGGACGGTAGCGGTACTACTATTTCAAAGCCTGTAGAATGTAGTTGATCATAACTTTAAAAAAAAAATGGTACGACTCTCAGCATTTAGATAGGTATTGATCAATAAAGTCTATTTTAATTTATACATTTACGAGATCTGCAAAAACCTTAGAAAATTTTTTTTAGCGATTTCGGCACTGTTGTGGTCATGAAATAAACTTACTTGCTACTTTCAAGCTATTTTAGTTTCCAAAACCTCAGCGTTCATACGGACAGATAGACATACGAAAGTTCTATTTTAGGATATTATTATTTTAATATATTAAGTAGCACTAATTGTTGTAATTATTTTGACGCATATGTAAAAACAAAAAATGTATTAATCCTGGTATAAATCGATAGGTTGACCAAAGAGGACCACTAAGGGGTAGATAAACGCGTTATAACTTAACAATTTAGCAACAATGTTATCAATTATTTTACCTATCTAAGTATGGACACAGTAAATAAGCTCCGTAACAAGCCACATTTAAAGCTGCCGTATAATTGATAAGATTAAACAAGACCCAACTGATAACAAAGCATTTAGCATGGCTAATAAAATTATCTGCTAATTATACATTGGAGTTCAATATGTACACATATACATCTACGAACTTTTGTTTGCAGAGATAAACGTTTTACCCAATTTGAGTGAGTGTATTTCACAATTCAATAATTACTCGAATGCAGCCGCACCCACCATATGTGTATAGATAGATAGATAGATTACTACATGCTTGACCTTGACAAACAACGATTGTCAATGCAATCTTGAATAAACTAGATACACAAATGCGCTGAACGAGTTTGAGTTACAAATTAATTACTACAATTGTCTTATTAAATTTATATTAATGAAATCGACTCACTTGTTACTTCCGCCCTTCGAATAGAGATCGCAGACTATGTCAAACATGGCTTTCTTCCGCAAGAACATGTCGCCCATGTTGCCAAAATACAAGGTTGGCTTCGCGTAGGGGATGCCCCGATCCTTGAAGAAACCATTGTTGGCGGCAGCCCAGCGATAGAACAAGACTATGGCGATTGCAAAAAGTGCCAGGAATTCCCACAACATGCTGGATGAGCGTTTCGCTTGGCGATCCAAGCGTCCAGAAGTAAACTAACGACGCCACAAGCAACTGGGAGCGTTTTGTTTTCGCTACGCAGAGCTTTTGATTAGAGCTTTGTGCTCTGCCGCCAAATGCAGTCATATGTACACCGCGTTTGATAAAATACTTGTCTATAATATACATATATTCGGTTTAATCAAGCATGTATTTATAAGTAAAAACGATTTCAACAGCACTCAGCGTTCTAACATCACCGCATATAGTGGGTAAGGCTGACGACTCTGGGTCTCGAGAGAGGTTTGGAGCCAGCTAACATTCAAGTGCCGGCAGCTGCGTCGATAGAGCGGTCTAAAAAAAACGGAACCCATTTAATCAAAAAGTATATTTTTAGATTCAATGAATCTCTAGACCTCACCTAAGCTTTTCCAGGTTCATTGCCTCGGTTGTATTGTAAAATACCAGATTCGCTTTCCGTGGTTCCGTTGTACAAGATCCGCCATGCTGTGAAAATTGTTCCTTCAGCTTGCTTGAATCTTTTTCCATTGCAAAATTGCCACCAAGCCAGCGAATAACTTGCCCTTTGCATCAGGAATTTTTTTATCTTTCTTTGGTTCATTTTTAACTGTAGATTGGACCTCCTTACTGGGCGTTATTTTTTCTTCCTTTGGTTCCTTTTTAACTTGTGATTGACCTCCTTATTAGCGTTATTTGCTCTTCTTTGGTTCCTTCTTAACTTGTGATGAACCTCCTTAGTGGGCTTAAAAAAGTCCTTCATTCCCTTTGCGATGGCGACAAGCTTCGTACCACTTTCGCATCCTTGCGTTTGCTTACCGTTGCAGCTGCTTCCTCATCATCCGAACCAGTTATGGATCTTTTAAGTTTTTTAGTGGTACTAGTTTGATTGCCTTGCATTTTTGTCGTCCCTTTCCGCAATTGGCCAATAGAAGATCCACGTTCACATTCTTCTTAGAGGCATCATAAAGATTTCCAAATGGGCCAGATCATTTGCCTCCTTTGCCGATTTATCGCTGCGCCGACGGGTTATCCTGGGGAACCGAATCGAGATGCCAGACGCCGTATGCGCTTCGGACTTGGTGAACTCTGCGCCCGTAATCTCCCATACTGGCATTTTTAGGGGATCCTTGGCCAGGACATCTGGCACCAAAGACTTGCTGCACAGCAGCCAATCGGGCGTTGCGTTGGCATCGGCTCGTTCGGTTAGCTTGATAAGGGATTCGTGTACCTCCGCGTTGGTGGCATCGTCCAGGCCAGAGTGAACTTTCGTCACAGTCTTCCACAAACGACCAAATGTGTCGTAGCAACCCATGAGAAAAATGCTCAGCACACCACCTTTCTTCCCTGATCCATACCAGGCACCCAGGACAACCAAGTCCGCCGTGTCAGCCATCTTGCCATCAAAAAGGTAATCCTTCTTGACCTTTAACCAGTTTCGCTTGCCGGGCTGGTAGGTGCTGGTTGGACTCTTAGCACCACTCCCTCCAAATTAGCATGCAACACCTTGGCCGTCATTATGGCCATTCCCTTTTGTCTTAAGGAATTCCGATCCGATAGCTGTACGTGGGATTTATGGGTTGAATATTCTGTTCGAGGATCTCCCGTCGCTTGCGGAATGGTCTAGAAGAATAGGTTTATTATTAAAAGCTATTTTCCCGAAAGCCTTACCACTTACAGCTGGGTCAATCCTCGCCATCGTACAGTATGCAGTCAAAAACGAATAGGCACACTGCTGCGTTGGCAAAAGTCTGTTTCTTGTGGGCGCCCAACGAGCCAAAGGGCAGCAGTGCGCCCGTATCAGTGTCGACCAGAATGATCTCTGAGTCCAGAATCATTTCCCCGGCTCCCGGAAAGGCACGCGGTATGTGTTCCTTTAGAGCTCTTATTTTGTGATCCACTACGGGTTTTAGATTGCGGCTGAAGAACTTAAAGTCCTCGCCCTGCTTGTGGATTTGGACCCTCTCTCCGTCGTACTTGATTTCACTATACAATCCGGCGGGGCTCTTCTTGAAGGCTTCCTCCACCGACTTGCAGGCACTGGCCAACATAGGTGATATGGGCGTCATCACCTGAATTCACTAGGGTTTGCTTTCTTGGCCTTCTTAATCGGGCTGTTAACAGCCTTTTTATTTTCCTTGCCAGCGAACTGTTGCACAATTGCCTCCAAATCCCGGGAAGACTGATATGCGGGGTAGGCCTCAGGCCCAAAGGCATCCAGAATGTGTCTGGCACGTGCATTGATACGCAAATCGTGCTTAATTAGGCGGATGAAGGTGCGCAGATCCAGGTCGGTGGCTTTCCTGCACAGCTCCTGCAGCAGTTCGGTCTGCTCATCCTCCTTGGTGCGCTCTTCCAGCTTCTTGAGCAGCTCCTCTACCTCCTCCAGATAGAGTTTGCTTTGCGCCTGGGGCTTTAGTTTCCTGGAGGCAGCGAAGTGCTTACGCAGTGTTTCAGAAACATCTCCATCTAGGGGAAGCCGCAGTTAATTAAGAGAATAAGTAATGATGGGATAGGTGATGTTCATTACAAACTATAACTAAGTACCCTGAGTAGAGGACTATAACTTGCCCTGTTCCAAATCCAGATGCATTTGCTGCTGGTTGGCGTTGAAAATGCGCGAGAAGAGTTTGATCAGCGCCTTGTTCTGCAGATTGTAGACCCGCTGGTTGGCCGCCGGGATGAGGAACTGCACCCAGAGCAGGGTGTCGCCCTCGAAGCCCTGACCACTGGTGCCTTTAGCGAAAAACCGCTGCAGTTTCTCCACCTTCTTCAAGTAACTCGGCTCGCCGGCTATTTCATCACAGATCCGCCGGAAGGTGTCCAACTTGTTGTCTTCGTGGTGCATCCGTTTGCTGGCCATATTATGCTGACGAGTCGAGTTAGGAATCTGGCCTGCCTCGTTAGCGATAGCATACGCGCAGTACTAAAAAGTATATATTCTTTACCTATTTCGCAGAACAATGCAAGCAGACTTTTGACTCACGAGTAAACAAATCGGGTACGTTCGACTCCAATCAGCTGTTGATGGCGAAGCACGCTCTCGGCGCCGTTTTAATTGGCGGCTCGAGAGTCCTCCAATGCCGTTACGAATTCGAAGCCCAGCCGCCGGAAAGGGTGCAGATCCGATTCCATGACTTCAACGTGCCCACGGAGCACGAGAACTCCACCGGCTGCCAGCCGGGTGATGCGCTTCACGTGGTCTCCGAGGTGCGTGGGCGGTACGAGACCCAGGAACTGCTGTGCGGCGCCTTTTTACCGAAGCCACTGATGTCCAGCGGGTCGCAGATGCACCTGCAATTCGTCGGAAAATATCCGCCCGCCATGACCAACAAGGTGCAGTACTATGGATTTCGGGCGGAGTACCGATTCTTAACCAGTAAGTGTTTCCACTGATCCGATTCCGCCGATTTACTTACTTACAAATTCAGAAATGTACATTTATTTTCACATTCTTCCAGAAGTTTTTGAAAAACCTTTAAGAAAAAACATTTATTTTAACAAATCCAAGTCTATTTATTTTATTTTTAGACACATTATTAAACATGTAATTAATATCTTTAAAACGATAATTGAGAATTATTTGATTCGAATTATAATAAGTTTAAATGATTGTTTCTTCTTCAAAAAAAATCTTTTTCGTTTCAAGACTTTGGCATCATGTCCGGCGTCCAGCTGGAGGACTGCTCCTTTGTTTACAACAGCAGTGAGCGAATTAGTGGTCTATTTCACTCTCCCAATTTTCCTGGGTTTTATCTGGAAAATGTGGTATGCAATTACTACTTCTACGGAGCCAGCGACGAGAGAATTGTTCTGCATTTCACCTATTTCGATATAGAAGGGATTGGAAAGTATGATTTTTTATTATTAATAGTTATGTATTTTAATGTCCTGCTTATCCACCAGTTGTGACCACCAGACCGCCAGCGACTATATTGAGTTCTCCAATTTTATGAGCACGGATCGAAAGTTTAGCAGATACTGTGGAAAGCTGCCCGATTTTGAAATGCGTTCGGATGGGCGCTTCTTTCGAGTCACCTTGCATTCGAATGATCGCTTCGTGGCCATCGGATTTCGTGCCCTGTTTACCTTTGAAACCATTCCGGTGAATAACTCCGATTTGCGAGATAATGCCTCCATGCAAAGCTTCGTTTCAACAGCTTCAACACAGCCGGTTGTTAACACAACCAAATTAATTTTTTATATCATATGCATTTATAAGACATACCAATAAAATGGTCAACCAAAGATACAATTTAACCAGACGTCCATATCCAGTAGGTGTCATCATAGAAAACGATCTGGTGAGCTTAATTGGTTGTAATGTTTTTGGAGGATCGGATAACCACTTATAAATTTTGTATAATGACCAATTTAGCGCCAACAAATATCGGTCTTAACAAAAGTCATCGATAGAAAAGTTTGCTATCGCTAGCTGCGTTTATACCACGTTGTAGTTCGCGAACTAAGTAACTCAAAATAAAAAAACAGAGAACTTTTTCATATAAATCTTTAAGACAACCCAAAAGTGATGAAATTTTTTTAGAATAATTGAATATTATTTCAACTTTGGATTGCTGAGAATTTTAAAATCTGAACATGAATGCTATTTCAGAATCCAAAGTTCACAATAAAGGTAAGCGTATAAACGGACCACTTGTTGCTATCTGCAATCGCGATACAGTTTTGTGGAGTCACGACACTATCTGCAATAAATACAACTGTTACGCGGTGCGATTAGCATTATTAACATTTTGCCAGTCGGTCGGAGCAGCCGAATTACCTCTGAGTCTGGAGCTGATAGCACGGTCCTAGTCATCACATCATTACTAGCGCATATTTTGTGAACTCTGGAATGGCGGCCAAGAAACTAGATGCCATCATCTTCGGTGCCTCCGGGTTTACCGGAAATACACGGTCTTCGAGGCGGTGAGCGTGCTTAAGGGCCTGCAATGGGGCATCGCCGGTCGCAACCAGGAGAAGCTACAGTCGGTGCTGAAGGAGATGGGGGCGAAGTCCAAGACGGACCTGACACAAACCCCCATCGTGATTGCGGATGTGGACAACGAGGCTTCGCTGCTGGAGATGGCCAAACGCTGCCGGATCGTGATTAATACGGCCGGTCCGTATCGATTCTTCGGCGAGAAGGTCGTGAAGGCCTGCATTGAGGCGGGCACTCACCATGTGGATGTCAGCGGAGAGCCCCAGTACATGGAGACCATGCAGCTGCGCTACCACGATCTTGCCAAGGAGCGTGGCGTATACGTGATCAGCGCCTGTGGCTTTGACTCCATTCCCGCCGACATGGGCGTCACCTTTGTGGAGAAGAACTTTGACGGAGTGGTCAACTCGGTGGAGAACTTTGTCCACATGGGCGTCAAAGGAGGCACCAAGGGAACGGGCAGTGCTGCCCTGAACACCGGCACCTGGGAGAGCGCTATCCATGCCATCGCCAACAGGAGCGAGTCGGTCGCCATTCGCCGGAAGCTGTTTCCCGAGCGTCTGCCCAAGTTCCAGCCGGATTTGAAGGCACGATCGCCGCTTTCCCGTGCCGCCGAGGTGGACAACAAGGTTATCCTGCCGTTCCCCGAAACAGATCGCTCTGTGGTGATGCGTTCGCACGATTCCTCTACGAGCAGGAGAAGAAGCGTCCCGTCCAGATGCAGGCCTACATGACATACCCCTCGTGGTTCGCTGCTAGTGTTGTTGTGCTCTTCGCCTCTATCATTGGAATTCTGGCCAAGTTCTCCTTTGGCCGGCAGCTGCTGATCAAGTACCCCGGCGTCTTCTCCGGCGGCATGGCCTCCCGGGAAGGTCCAGCGAGGCTAGAATGGAGCGCTCCTTCTTCAGAATGACCATGAAGGCCACCGGCTGGCCCAAGACCGAAAAACTGTCCGAGAGCTCGGACCAGTACAGTTCTCCGCCAACGAAGACTTTGACGGTGCAAATTACGGGTCCCAATCCCGGCTATGGATCTACCTGCGTGGCGCTGCTCTCCACGGCTAAGACCATCCTTACCGAAAGCGACAAGATGCCCGGCACTGGCGGAGTCCTGCCACCCGGTGCAGCATTCCGGAAAACCAATCTTATCAGCGAGCTGGAGAAGCACGAGCACGGCATTAAGTTCGAGATTGTGGCGAACAAGTAATGTCTGTAATGGTTTTTTTAATACAAATTGTACAAATAAAAGTAATTATGATTTACGTTTATTTCAAACTAGTGTGCTCGTGTTTTTGAATTGTATATAATATTTCATTAACATAAAATGAGAATATTTCTCCTTTTTATATTCATTTATTTACGTTTCAAGAACTTGAGATTAATTCCTGAGCAATATGACTTTCCCTGCTAATTTAATCACTAATTTTCTAGGCGGAATTAGTAGCTCTACTTTTCTTTTGAATCCTGACCTTAACTGGTTCGGTTCCGCCCTCTTCGAATTTAGTGGTTCAACTAGTTCCATTGGCGGTTTTCAAGGGACTTCAGCGCACGGTCACACCGATACCGATTGGTTTGGTCATCGCTATCACTTCTGGTACCTTTGTTGTTTACCTTTTGCCATTACCATTTTGGACGCCAACGCGAAAATATACAAATCATGAGTGCTGAAATATCCGGCTTCCGACGATTCCTGCACTGGGGACCAATTACGGCCCTGAGTAAGTAGTGACCGGGCTAATCAGCGGTTCTATTCGAGGCACACAAATTGCTATCAGTCTGGAAGGGATGGGCCTCCAATTTGCAAACGGGTGAAAGTGGACTTGGAGTGAACGAACTGCTCGCAATGTGGGCGACCAATTACGGGGGCGGCTCCTGCAGCTACCACGCCCCGCTCCCCTTATGTCTGCGCCATATCGTGTTTCACATGCCACCATACCATACAGCACCCGGTGCTCCATCGGTTGTCAACCCACCAGGCACTTTTAATTTGCTTAATGTGCCGCGCTAATTGCGTTTTAGTTGTATGTCGTTTGCGCTTTTATTGCCCGGGTAACTTTGGTCCTTGGAGCCTATCTGGAATTTCACGGAGCCCTAAACATGGCGTGCAAATTGGCCGTTTGGCCGGCGACGGGTCAGACCTCCACGATATTGAACTGATATACAATTGTTCCCGGCATAATGGCTTTATAAGACGCCGACCGCTTGTTGCTGCTTTAAAAAGGATTCGGAATCGGAATCAGCCAACGAAGGGCTGAAATTACTCATTACTGGACCGTAGTGCCGGCTAATCAACTTGAAAACGACTATAAACTAAATAAATGGGCCTTATTTCCTACGCACGCAATTGCCAACCGAAGCATGTCCACCAAAAACACCCCCATCCAAGCAAAAAACAGGGCTAGGTCCCTCCAACTATGTATATCAATATTTCGGACATGAATCACTAATGTTTATCTACCTCTTCGCTTTCAGGCATCATCAAGTGCATAACGCTGACGACGCTCTACATGAACTCGATGTGGTGGCCGCCGAATGAATCATTCGCTGGATTCGCCCACCAGGCCCTGTTCCTGCTCCTCTCCACGCTGGCCACATTCAATTACGTCATGGCCACGTTGACAGGTCCCGGACTGATGCCGAAACGGTGGCAGCCCAAGGTAACTGGAGAACGAACGCCCAGAAAATGGAAACGGTGTGGGGAGAAGCATTTGTTGTGACACGATAACTTGTCAACCGCCTCCACCTTGTTGGAGACACCTGTTACCATTGATAATGCCTTCCATTGGCCCGAAAAACGGTTGACCCGTCACGAACTGCCAAAGCACTTTGTCCAAGGGGTGTTTTCGCAATCCCTTTGTGCATCGTCATTCCAAAGCGGAAGCAATTGTTTAGTGTACGACGAGTAGGTGCTGAGGGCTTTGGGTATCGGTCCCTGCGGGGTTTCCTTGTCCGAGTTTCTGGCCAGACAAATGGGCCAAGCCAGCCCTTTGGCGTGTGTGACTGCTTATCGCATAATCCGCGCCAATTAAACGCTGCAATTTATTTTAAAGAATCCGGGCCCACCGGAGAATCCAGAGATGTCGTGCAAGGGCCGCCGTCGGCTGTAACGTTTTTCGACTCCCATTCATTTTGTCCGGACGTGGCGCGACCCAAATATAATTTATTAGCGGCGACTCCTCATATTACCTCCGGGCGGACCCTGCACGCGAACGCATTCTACGGGGCCCAAAAGTCCGTAATGCAATTACCCGAATTTGCATAAATGTTTTGTAGGCGGGTCCAGACGCAAGAGGGGCGGATTAGTCGGCTAGTTGGGAGGAGGTCTGTGGGCAATGGCAGGTGGTCACTTAATGAGCTGTGCGTCGTTAGGTTTTGTTGAACCTGGCGGTTTCGGGAAACGCGCATAAATCACGAATAATATGCTCGTTCTCTGTATTTTAATGAATTTAAATTTTGGCAGGATCCCAAGGACGCCGAGTTCCTGCAGTACTGCAAAAAGTGTGAGGGGTACAAGGCCCCACGCTCCCATCACTGTCGCAAGTGTAAGTCGAAAATTGCCATTAAATAAAAATTTGCATGAGAATTAAAAATAATTTACGAAGCTTATAATAATAAGAGAATGCTTAATAATATACAATTGCCACAATAGCTTTGAACTTTAAAACCACTGCCTTATAACTAAGGAGAATAATGTGGTGCTAAAATATATTTTTTTTTTAATTCTACTTTGAATTTAAAACTACTTATAACTAAGAATAATGTGGTGCTAAAATATATTTTTTATTTATTAAGTTCTCACTTATAACCTTTGAGTACATTTTATTTTAGACGTTGATCAACCAATTTAATAGTTAATGGTTTTTAATTGTGAATGGTTAAATTAGCTGTACCCTTTAAAATCAAAATTAAACAAAAAAGCTTTTAAAATTATCGTCACACATCTAGGTTATAGTTTAAAATATTTGAGGTAAGTGACCTTAAATCTTTAAAAACCGAAACCAATATTTGTGGCAGTTTAAATTAAGTTCATATTTATGTACATAAATTTTAGAAATTATGTATGATTTTTCAAAGCTATAGCGAAAGGCAAAATTAACGTAATGTGTAGTACTGATCCACTGTATACTTTCCACAATCAGGTGACCGCTGCGTAAAGAAGATGGACCACCACTGCCCGTGGATTAATCACTGTGTTGGCTGGGCCAACCATGCCTACTTCACCTACTTCCTGCTCTTCTCCATCCTGGGCAGCATGCAGGGCACTGTGGTCTTTGCTGCACCTTCTGGCGCGGCATATACCGCTACTACTATCTC